GTGGGGTACATCTTGGGCTTCTCCGATTGACCACGGGAGAGCAGAGTTATGACCCAGAAGCCGGCAGGCGTCCGAGAGGGATCCGAAGGCCCAGGAGGCCTCCGCCATCCGAGAAGCTTCATGCGCCCACATCAAGCTGCATGCCCCCACCCACCTCAGCGCCCCTCAAACGGGTACTCCACTAACGGGTACTTTGGCCAGTGACCCAGCGAACCCAACCCTTCCCGATGTGGGCAAAGCTGCAATGCAAGAAAAAGGCCCGAAAGTGGCAACTTTCGGCAAAAAATCAAAGTACCCGTTAGTAAGTACCCGTTACGGTGCCGTTGACCACCTCTGGACCCTCGGAGGCCGGACGCATCGCTGGGGCTCCCCGAGGCTCCCAAGACGGTCCAGGAGGACCACCAAGGCGGCCAAGGTGGGCCAAGATAACCTCAAAATGAAGAGAGATACTTATCGTCCACTTTTTGTGCAAAAATCGTCAAAATTCGCCCAGCAGATCCAGAAAATAGGTATTTTACTGTTGGTAGATGGATACTCAAGAGGCATCCGACAAGCTCCGAGAGATCCCCACAGGCGCCGAAGGTGCCCCAAGAAGGCGTCCAAGTCACAGGGTGGGCCGAACCAATCACACTCAATGATCTCCTGGGGATTTGGGGAATTTTGTGCTCCAGGCGTCTCGGCTCAAGATGCGTGTTCCCAAAGGGCCCAAGGGGCCGGAGGTCTGCGCGGACGTCTTGATCGGCGCTGGGTCCCCTCCCTGGCGCGCGGAGATCGCCAGCTGGCGATGATCCAAGAGATCCGCGCGGAGGTCCGAAAATACATGCTTTCGAGGAGGACGAGGAGGATGATGAGGAGGAGGAGGACCGATGCTAGGCCGATATTTCCCATTTGAGGAGGTGCGCCAGCACTGCTACAAGGCACAAATCCGTCGCGAGTATGATCCTCAAATTCCCTACGATGAGTCCTTCTCGCTGCTAGAAGTGTCCAAAGACTGTCGCGAGCGCCCAGCTGGCGTGGCGAAAAGGAACCGCCCTCCAGCATGGCCATATGAGGAGCGGAAACACGCCAGATCACAAATTTTAAGGACGTGCCTAGCTAGATTCTCGCTTCGGTCTCAAGCGGTAGCCCCTCTGTGGCAAGAAACCAAATGTTGAAAACCGCACTTGCCATCGCTCGGGCGTCCCCTCCCCGTGCATGCTTCGGCTCCGCGTTTTTGTTTGTTTGTTTGTTTGTTTTTTTTGTTTGTTTGTGTTTTTCTTAAATTATTGTATTGTTTTTTCGCAGTGTGATCCAAGAGGCTCCTCGCGGGCCCTCGCCGAGAAACGTGCACACGCCCGAGCGATGCCAAGACCAAGACTGCCCCTGATCTCTGCCGCTCCCCTCGCGCTCGCGCTCCCGCGAGCGGCAGGTCCCCGCTGCTGCCTCTGCCGCTGCTGCTGCTGCTGCTCCTCCTCCTCCTCCTCC